CTAAACCCTAAATCTAACTCTAACCCTAAATCTAACTCTAACCGTAACTCTAAGCCTAACACTAACCCTAATCCTAATTCTAACCCTAACTCTAATCCTAACCCTAACTCCATCCCTAACTCTAACCCTAAACTTAACTCCAACCCTAAACGTAACTCTAACCCTAACTATAATGCTTACCCTTACTCTAATCCTAACCCTAACCCTTACTCTAATCCTAACCCTAAGTCTAACCATAACATTAAGTCTAACCCTACCCCAACTCTGGCCCTGACCGTTAAGTTGGGGTTATAGTTAGACATAGGACCGGAGTTAGAGTTAGGGTTCGAAGTCATTGTTAGGGTTAGCATTCTAAACCCTAGCAATGACTGGTAACCCTAACTCTGATTACCGCTAACCCAACACTGTCATACTTTACTATTTGCAAAGTCCCCCCCCCACAAAAAACCCATCAAAATTGCAAAACGCAGCGAAAAACACGCATGAAAGTGCATCAACCACAAACTGCAGAGATGTGAACCTCAGCTTTTTTTTTTCAATGCAATATATAGACAATGTAACAAAACTATGAAGATACACACTCTCATTTTGACTTAGTTCAATGGTTAGTTATACATAACTAGTATACATTTTTTTCTTTACAATACTGATGATTCTGGCAAAAAAAAAAAAAACAGCATAGTTATTTACAAATAAAATAATTTTTTTTTTTCAATATTCATGCTTCTTTTTAATTTGACATAAAAAAAAAAACAAGCAAATAAATTGTATAAAAAAAAGTTTAAATATTATTAATTCAAAAGAAAAAAAAAATCAGCAGCAAAGCAATACTTTAGAGAAAGGGAAGAGTTCGTCCGGAATGATTCGAGTAAACCCAAATGTTAATAAGAGGTTAGAAATGAAGACATTTTATTTAAAAAAATAATTTAGACAAAATAAAAAAAAAAAAGTTCCCCATTCAAAACTAGGACTTCTGTTGGTGATACACAGAGCCATGTCAGACCCCGTGAGCTATGCCAGCCTTTCTCAACCTTTTTACGCCCCGAGGAACCCATGAAATAATTTTCAGGTGTTTGGGAACGCCTGCTAAGATTGGTCCATCAGGGTTCATAGAGAAAACACTCCTTACATTGGTGGTCAGTGGAAGGAATGGCTCTGCCAAATGGCATGAAGGCACCCATGAAGGCACCTCAGATGGAAGGTCAACTAGCCACAGCTCAAGGAACCCCTAGCAACTTCTGGTGGAGCCCAAGGGTCCCATGGAACTCTGATTGAGAATACCTGACCTATGTGATAATCACATGACTTTGTTATTAAAAAAAAAAAAAAAGAAGCTTAAGGATCTTGTTGGGTTTTCAGGGTTACTATTAAGACAACATTTCCTTTAGCATGATAGGTACAACCATACAAGTTCAATAACATTTTACCAAATTTTACAAAATTTTACCAACATTTCCAATTCACAATGAAATTCTGGCAATTTTCACTCATCCCTAGACCTATTTATGTACCAAAAGGAACTGTCAAAAAGGTAAAATTTGCTTTAGCGTGATGCATACAACCATACAAGTTCAAAAAAATTTTACTAAATTTTACCAAAATGTCCAATTCACAATGAAATTCTGGCGATTTTCACTCATCCCTAGACTTATGTACCAAAAAGAACTGTCAAAAATGTAAAATTTGCTTTAGCATGATGTGTACAACCATACAAGTTCAATAAAATTTTACCAAAATGTCCAATTCACAAGGAAATTCTAGTAATTTTCACTCATCCCTAGACCTATTTATGTACCAAAAGGAACTGTTAAAAAATGTTACCAAAGTAAAATTTGCTTTAGCATGATGCAGACAACCATACAAGTTCAATAAAATTTTACCAAATTTTACTAAATTTTACCAAAATGTCCATATCTCAATGAAATTCTGAGGATTTTGGCAACTTCTGGCAACCATTCCAAACCATACAAGTTCAATAAACCATGTGAATGACGTACCTAAATGAGGACAAGATGACAGTTTTTTAGGGTCTCACAATCCACGCAAAAACCGGCTTGGAACTCCTTGTAGGTGGAGCAAGGAAAACCAATGAAAGAGCACCTTCCACGCACCGCATTGATGTACACAGCAACCGACCTCATGTGGTCACATATGAGATATCTGTATGCTGATAAATATAATATTGATCATTTAAAAAAAAAAAAAACTGGAGAACTGTGGTGTCCCCCAACAGTCATCAGATGCAATTTCCCAAACCACACATCTGGATTCTGATTGATCGTTACAGGAAGTATCACCAATGTATGTAAAAGGTACAATATTGATACATGTTAAGCATTGGCAGATGACCCTGACTCACCCAAGGCATGAAGCTTTCCTCTTCAACACTCTGCAAGGGAAAATAGGCCGGCCCTTGGAGATACCGTACCAAATTTACAGCTTGGATGAGTTGGGAAGTACTCACGGTTGGAGGTGATATGTGGACAGCCGGCTGGTCTCGGCCTCCGTTAATGAAGTAATCAATGTGACCCACAGGAATGCGAATACCAAAGTCTGAAAAGAAGAATTAACAGGAAAAAGGTTTGTTTGAAAGCCGAAGAAATTGTTTATAGGTGAGTCCTAATACTTTATCAAAGGTAAGTCCATGTCCATGTAAGTCCATACAAAGTAAGTCCATGATCTATGGATGGATGTGGAGAAAGATACAAGAGTGAGCCCTCGGACTTTATCAGGGTAAGAGATATACAAAGTAAGTCCATGATCTAATATGTAAAAGAGGTGAGCCCTCCTTTATGATCTATGTAAGTCCATGACATGATAGGACATACCAGAGGTGAGCCCTCGGACTTTATCAGGGTATAAGACATATACTAAAGTAAGAGGTCCCTCATGATCTATGGATATAAGGATCTATGGATACAAGAGGCGAGCCCTCGGACTTTATCAAGGTAAGAGATATATACAAAGTAAGTCCATGATCTATGGATATGAAGGACATACAAGAGGCGAGCCCTCGGACTTTATCAGGGTAAGAGATAAACAAAGTAAGTCCATGATCTATGGATATGGAGGACATACAAGAGGTGAGCCCTCGGACATTATCAGGGAGAAGAGATATACAAAGGAAATCCATGATGTTTCACAGTTCTCTTGGTGTGTGAGATACTCCATTGTATTGCGGAACTATTTTTCCCATCGTCTCTTCTTTGCTGTGGTAAAATTTTGAGTTCCGTTTCCATAAGAGTGAAATCCAGGAGGAAAAACTTACCGTCCCTGAAATGAGCATCTCACTGCTGGGACAAGGTCATCTAAAGCCAGGATTAAGATGCCTAATGTTCCCCCCCCCTTCCTAAAAAGTATGAGCAATATGTGTCAGCAAAACCCCCTTCCTCACCTCCCAAAAAATTGGAGCGCTAATCTTCCCACTTACCCTCTGAGTTGCCTTTGCAAGCCAAAATTCCCCCAATTAAATTCCTCCTCTTCCAGTACAATGGGAATGGGAGTTAGACATCTCCAGGTGACCCTGATGAGGATTTTCCTTGATTATCTATACTCACTTCACTCACTTTATTAGGTCCACCTGTTCAATTGCTTGGTAATCAGCCAATCACAGGGCAGCAACTCAATGCAACTAGTCATCTAGATGTGGTGGAGATGACTTTCTGAAGTTCAAATCAAGCATCAGAATGGGGAATAAAGGGGATTTAAGTGACTTTCAACGTGGCATGGTTGTTGGTGCCAGACGGGCTGGTCTGAGTATTTTAAAAACTTCTGATCTACTGGGATTTTCACGCACAGCCATCTCTAGGGTTTACAGAGAATGGTCCGAAAAAGAGAAAATATCCAGTGAGCTGCATGGAGGAAATGCCTTGTTGATGTCAGAGGTCAAAGGAGAATGGGTAGACTGATTCGAGGTGATGGAAAGGCAACAGTAACTCAAATAACCACTTGTTACAACCAAGGTATGCAGAACACCATCTCTGAGTGCACAACACGTCCAACCTTGAAGAAGACGGGCTACAACATCAGAAGATCACACTGGGGGCCACTTCTGTCAGCTATGAACAGGAAACGAAGGCTACAAGTCGCACAGGCTCACCAAAATTGAACAAGAGAAGATTGGAAGAACATTGCCTGGTCTGATGAATCTGGATTTCAGTTGCGACATTCAGATGGTAGGGTCAGAATTGGCGTCAACAACATGAAAGCATGGATCCATCCTGCCTTGTATCCACTGTTCAGGCTGTTGATGTCATGGTGTGGTGGATCTCCTGGTGTTCAGTGGTGGTGGTGGTGTCATGCTGTGGTGGATCCATCCTGCCTTGTATCAACGGTCCACTGTTCAGGCTCCTGCCTTGTATCCATGGTGTCAGGTGGTGGTGATGTCATGGTGTGGTGGATCCATCCTGCCTTGTATCATGGTTCAGCCTTGTATCTTCAGTCAGGTGGTGTGTCATGGTGAGGGGGAGATTTTCTTGGCACACTTTGGGCCCCTTAGTACCAATTGAGCATCATTTAAATGCCACGGCCTACCTGAGTATTTTTGCTGACCATGTCCACACCATGACTCCAGTGTCCCCATCTTCTGATGGCTCCTTCCAGCAGGATAATGCACCATGTCACAAAGCTCAGATCATCTCCAACATGACAATGAGATCACTGCACTCCAATGTCCCCCAAAGTCACCAGATCTCCATCCAATAGAGCACCTTTGGGATGTGGTAGAATGGGAGATTCGCATCATGGATGTGCAACCGACAAATCTGAGGCAACTGCATGATGCTATCATGTCAACATGGACCGAAATCTCTGAGGAATGTTTCCAAAACCTTGTTGAATCTATACCATGAAGAATGAAGGCAGTTCTGAAGGCAAAAGGGGGTCCTACCCAGTACTAGCAAGGTGGACCTAATAAAGTGGCTGGTGAGTGTATATTTATCTATCTGAGACTTCAATTTAGTTTTTTTTTTTAAGTTTTAGCAGCTCGCTCTTGCCTCCCTTCATGCAACATGTATGTCCTTGTAATGATGAATGCATGAAAAATTACTGTCTGTATCGGTGTGAATGGCATCCACAAACAGAGCATCTCCAGGGTCGAGCCTGTCGTCCGGGTGAGTCCTTGTGAACTTGTACGCTGCTGGATCCAGACCTGAGAGAGAAATATTCTATCAATCTTAGAAGCCTTTGGGGTATTCTCACCAGGGGCGGACTGACCATTTGGAAACTAGGGCACTGCCCGAGGGCTCGGGGTCAGTAGGGGGCCCCATGAGATGCCCCTGGTACCTTTTTCATAGGCTTTTTTTAATTTGGGCAAGGACACAGGGGCCCCATGATCCCCTATTGCCCAGGGGCCCCATGAGTTGTCAGTCCACCCCTGATTCTCACTATGAGCCAACAAAAGAAGATCCCACAAAAATTTTACACAATTTTATACTTAACAAATAGTGTGGTGCCCTGTAGTGTAGTGTAGCATAGTAGTGCATTGCTTAATTTTTAGATGCTTTTAGGATCTTTACATGCAGCCAGTTGTTTAAGAGGGTGGTGGATACCATGATGGTCATGATGGATATGTGATCATGGTTGGTGTGCGGTCATGGTAGATGTGTGGACTTAATGGGTGAGTAGCCATGGTGGGTGAATAGATATTGTAGGTGGGTGTTCAAGGTAAGTGTTTGGTCATGATGGGTGGGTGTGCAGTCATAGTAGATGTGTGACCATGGTAGATGTGTGACCATGGTTAGTGTATGGTCGTGGCAGGTTTGTGAACACAGTGGGTGTCTAGTCATGGTAAGTGTGCCGTCATGGTTGGTCTGTAGTCATGATAGGTGCATGGTTGTGATGGGTGTATGGCCATGGTGGGTGTACAGTCATGGTAGATGTGTGACCTTGGCTAGTGTATGGTCATGGCAGGTTTGTGATCATGGTGGGTGTCTAGTCATGATAGATGTGCAATCATAGTTGGTATGCAGTCATGATAGGTGCTTGGTCGTGATGGGTGTATGGCCATGGTGGATGTAAAGTCATGGTAGATGTGTGACCATGAAAGATGTGTGATCTTGGTAGATATGTGACTATGGTTAGTGTATGGTCATGGCAGGTTTGTGATCATGGCGGGCGTCTAGTTATGGTAGGTGTGCAGTCATGGTTGGTGTGCAGTCATGATAGGTGTTTGGTTGTGATGGATGTATGGTCATGGTGGGTGTTTAGTCATGGTAGATGTGTGACCTTGGTTTGTGTATGGTCATGGATGGTTTGTGAACATGGTGGGTGTCTAGTCATGGTAAGTATGCAGTCATGGTTGGTGTGTAGTCATGATAGGTGTTTGGTTGTGATGGGTGTATGGCAAGGGTGGGTGTACAGTCATGGTAGACGTGTGATCATGGTAGATGTGTGACCATGGTTAGTGTATAGTCGTGGCAGGTTTATGATCATGGTGGGTGTTTTAGTCATGGTAGGTGTGCAGTCATGGTTGGTGTGTAGTCATGAAAGGTGTTTGGTCATGATGGATGTATGGCCATGGTGGATGTACAGTCATGGTAGATGTGTGACCATGAAAGATGTGTGACCTTGGTAGATGTGTGACCATGGTTAGTGTATGGTCATGGCAGGTTTGTGATCATGGTGGGTGTCTAGTGATGGTAAGTGTGCAGTCATGGTTGGTGTGTAGTTATGATAGGTGCTTGGTCGTGATGGATGTATGGCCATGGTGGGTGTTTAGTTATGGTAGATGTGTGACCTTGGTAGATGTGTGACCACGGTTAGTGTATGGGTGTACAGTCATGGTAGATGTGTGACCATGGTTAGTGTATGGGTGTACAGTCATGGTAGATGTGTGACCATGGTAAATGTGTGACCTTGGTAGATGTGTGACCATGGTTAGTGTATGGTTGTACAGTCATGGTAGATGTGTGACCTTGGTTTGTGTATGGTAATGGAAGGTTTGTGATCATGGTGGGTGTGTGGTCATGGTAAGTTTGTGGTCATAGTGAATGTGTGGTCATGGTGGATGTATGGTCTTGGTGGCTTTGTGGCAATGGTATAATTGTGACCAAGTCATGTGGTTCTATTGAACATTTGGATCTTGTAAGCCTTCCATGGGGCAGAAACAGACAACCATTTTGGGTGGATGGGTTGTCATGTGAATATTGTCAATCATTTCTGATTTGTTGACATTTCTGAGCATAAAAGCCTTACAGACAACCCAAGTCATCCACATCTTTCTGTTCTTATCCACACAATTGCTTTATATCTTTTCCTACCTGTGATCCAACCAATGCGGCCACCAAAGTAACTGCCAATGTTGCCAGCCACATGGGCCCCTAGGGACACCCCAATCAGGTGGAGAGACTCCAAGGTGGATCCGAGCTCCTACAAAATGAGTGCAGTGCCACAATTAGGTGAAAGCTGGTGGGACTGGTGGTGTAGAGGCTAGGCTGGGACAACGGGTGGGCAGGAAAGGCAGATGAGCAAGGGGGCAAAGATTAGACACATGGTAGCACACCCGTCCAGGGGCGGACTGACCATTTGGAAACTCAGGCACTGCCCGAGGGCCCGGGGTCAGTAGGGGGCCCCATGAGATGCCCCTGGTACCTTTTTCATAGGCTTTTTTGAGTTTGGGCAAGGACACAGTGATCCATGATCCCCTATTGCCCGGGGGCCCCATGAGTTGTCAGTCCGCCCCTGCACCCGTCCTACAGCACGTAATAACAGTGGGGGGGGTCGCAATTCAGGATACTTGCCCTGGAACTGGGCGACCCTGTCCTGATATTGGGTAGAGGCAGCAGGACATGCTGAACATGATCAGTAAAGATCCTTTTTCCACAGTAATTCCATCTTTGCAAACTTTTTTTTAAACAAACGCAACTTTATCATCAAAGTTTTTACTCACCAAAAAGCGGTTTATAAGCGCCACTAACACGATGGTGAGCTTCGGCACGTTCTCCACGGCTTGGTTATACTTGGCGGTAGAGCCGGACACCCAGTCTACCACCACCAGATTCGCTCTCCAGCGCTAAGCAGCGCCTCCACCATGTTTTCAATCCAGGATGGCTTTGTTCCTAGGACCCTGGTAAAAATATAGTGAACATGCGCATGCGCTTGTCAAATATTTCATTTAATCTCATTACTTATATCAATATTGGAAACAAATGAAATAGTTACATAATTGGTAAGATTGAACAAAGACACCAGTCCATCCGGAAAGTTTTCCTTTTTTATTAAATTTTGGTGAAAATCAAGATTTGGGTGGTATCTTGCCATTTTGGCAAACTGCGTTGGAGGGCAAAATTAGGATGGGGGGGGTGCAATGTCCTTTAAATGGCTTCATAAGCTCCTTTCATCTATCCTGGACCCGTTATTGGGTCAAAACAAGGTATTTTGTTATTTTATATGTGGTTTTTTTTTTTTCACAGAAAAGCATAATTTTGCCTCTGCCACCTGAAGATCAAAATATAAAAAGTTTTTGGCTGAATTTGGGCTTTAAGGTGTTTGAGCTCCACCAATCAGATGTGTGTGCTTACTGGGATTGTCCATTTGTGGGACATTGCTGCCATCTAATGGTAACGTTGCTGTACTTTCTGAGGAAGTGAAATGATCCCTACTGACCACACCAAATCCCTCGAGTAGCTTTTTGCAGGACACCATGTTTGTTAGAAGGGGGTCATCTATCTCCATATAAAGGGCATGACTGACATTCTGGTAACATTTTGGCAGCACTGCTTTCCTTCTGTCTTGGTGTGGTGAGGAGTTGTTGCAGCCCAAACAATGATTTATAAGTGAAGGTAGAGGAGCCCTATGGCCCCCCTTTAAATGTTACTAATAGAATTCTGCGGTGAGGAAATATGATGACCTTAGTTCGCTATCAAACTCTGTTTTGAGGTCCACCTAAGGGAATCTCCAGTTATCCCTCAAGCCCAGGCCTATGTACCTCTACCCCTTGGCCATTCTCCATATCGGAATTCATATACTGTATTGATCAAGTGGTGGCTTACAATGTCTCTCTTGGGTCTTGCAATCTTGGCTCGCAAAGCCTTTATGGTAAGTACAGCACTTTTTTGGACTTATTAGCTTGCCTGGGCCAAAAGGCAATCATTTGGGAATTATTACCCAAGTCTCTTGGTCTGGCAGCATTTTGGCTCCTCAGAGTTTAAACCAGCCAGAATACAATTATATTATTGGAATAAAGGTAAAGGGACCACGCCCAGATCAACTCAGCAGGTCTACCTCCCTAGCTACTAAATCCTGGTGGATGGAACTCCTAGCTGGGCAGGATCTTGTATTCTAAACCTTATAGTCTTGAGGAACAGGCCCAAGTTCCAAAAGAACCCAGGGATGAAATTCCTGTGCTAACCATTTCCATAATCGGCTACTAAGGAGGAGAAAGATCCATCAGAAAACCAATGGTGGTCACTGACTTTTTTATGAATCTATTAACTGGCCAAAGTTTGGTCCTTCAAGGTAAAAGGCCAGAAAAGAAAACCCTCTGGACTTCTATCCTTGAAGGACCAAGAGCTTAACCGGCTGATAGATTCTTAAACAGGTAAGATGGGACCAACCATTGGTTTTTTCTGATGGATCTCATTCTCCTCCACAGCTCACAAGGGGATAAGCCCAAATATCAAAAGTACCCAGGGATGAAATTCCTCTGCTAACCGCTGACAATATCGGCTACTATGGAGGAGAAAGAGATCCATTAAAAAACCAATTGTGGTCTCTGACTTCTTTATGAATCTATCAACTGGCAAAGCTTGGTCCTTCAAGGTAAAAGGACAGACAAGGAAACCCTCTGGACTTCTATCCTTGAAGAACCAAGCCTTGACCAGCTGATAGATTGATAAACAGGTAAGAAAGGACCAACCACTGGTCTTCTGATGGATCTCATTCTCTTTCACAGCTGACAAGGGAACAAGCCCAAGTGCCAAAAGAACCCAGGGATGAAATTCCTCTGGTAACCATCAATAATATCAGCTACTAAGGAGGAGAAAGAGATCCATCAGAAAACCAATGGTGGTCTCTGACTTTCTTTATGAATCTATTAACTGTTCCAAGCTTGGTCCTTCAAGGTAAAAGGCCAGAAAAGAAAACCATCTGGACTTCTATCCTTGAAGGACAAGGCTTGACCAGCTGATAGATTCACAAACAGGTAAGAAAGGACCAACCATTGGTTTTCTGATGGATATCATTCTCCTCCACAGCTGACAAGGGACAAGCCCAAATATCAAAAGAACCCAGGAATGAAATTCCTCTGCTAACCACTGACAATATCGGCCATTATGGAGGAGAAAGCGATCCATCAGAAAACCAACGGTGGTCTCTGATTTCTTTATGAATCTATCAACTGACCAAAGCTTGATCCTTCAAAGTTAAAGGGCCAGAAAAGAAAACCATCTGGACTTCTATCCTTGGAGAACCAAGGCTTGACCGGCTGATAAATTCTTAAATATGTAAGAAGGGACCAACCATTGGTTTTCTGATGGATCTCATTCTCCTCCACAGCTGACAAGGGGACAAGCCCAAATATCAAAAGAACCCAGGGATGAAATTCCCCTGGTAATCATCAATAATATCGGCTACTAAGGAGGAGAAAGAGATCCAACAGAAAACCAATGGTGGTCTCTGACTTCTTTATGAATCTATTAACTGTTCAAAGCTTGGTACTTCAAGGTAAAAGGCCAGAAAAGAAAACCATCTGGACTTCTATCCTTGAAGGACCAAGGCTTGACCAGCTGATAGATTCATAAACAGATAATAAGGGACCAACCATTGGTTTTCTGATGGATCTCATTCTCCTCCACAGCTGACAAGGGACAAGCCCAAATATAAAAAGAACCCACGGATGAAATTCTTCTGCTAACCATTGACAATATCGCCTACTGTGGAGGAGAAAGAGATACATCAGAAAGCCAATGGTGGTCTCTGACTTCTTTATGAATCTATCAACTGGCCAAAGCTGGGTCCTTCAAGGTAAAAGGCCAGAAAAGAAAACCCACTGGACTTATATCCTTGAAGAACCAAGCCTTGACCAGCTGATAGATTCATAAACAGGTAAGAAGGGACCAACCACTGGTTTTCTGATGGATCTCATTCTCTTTCACAGATGACAAGGGAACCAATGGTGGTCTCTGACTTTATGAATCTATCAACTGACCAAAGCTTAGTCCTTCAAAGTTAAAGGGCCAGAAAAGAAAACCCTCTGAACTTCTATCCTTGAAGGACCAAGCCCTGGCCTGCTGATAGATTCATAAACAGGTAAGATGAGGCCAACCATTTGTTTTCTGATGGATCTGATTCTCCTCCATACCTGAAAATATTTCCAGGAACACCATGGATACCCCATTAGATATTCTTACTGAAGATTGTTTTATACAGGAGTAACAACAGGTATACAGTGAGGAACAGAAGTATTTGAACACCCTGCAATTTTGCAAGTTCTCCCACTTCATGGAGGGTCTGAAATTCACATTGTAGGTGCATTCCCACTCTGAGGACAGAATTCAGGAGATCACATTGTATGATTTGTAAAGAATGTATTTGTCTCGCACGGCTGAACAGAAGTATTTGAACACCTAAAAACAGCAAGAATTCTGGCTCTCAAAGACCTATTACTGTGCCTTTAATAAGTCCACCTCTACTCCACTCATCTAACTTAGTAGCACCTGTCTGAGCTCTTTGAAGACATCTGTCCACCCCACAGTCAGTCAGACACCAACTACTACCATGGGCAAGACCAAGGAGCTGTCAAAAGACACCAGAGACAAAATTGTGGACCTCCACAAGGCTGGAAAGGGCTACGGGGCAATTGCCAAGCAGCTTGGTGAAAATAGATCAACTGTTGGAGCAATTGTTAGAAAATGGAAGAGGCTGAAGACGACTGTCAGTCTCCCTCGGACTGGGGCTCCATGCAAGATGTCCCCTCGTGGGGTATCACTGATGATGAGAAAGGTGAGGAATCAGCCCAGAACTACAAGGGAGGAGCTGGTCAATGACATGAAGAGAGCTGGGACCACAGTTTCAAAGGTCACTGTCGGTAGAACACTACGCCGTCATGGTTTCCAATCATGCATTGCACGGAAGGTTCCCCTGCTCAAGTCATCACATGTCCAGGCCCGTCTGAAGGTTCCCCTGCTCCAGTCATCACATGTCCAGGCCCGTCTGAAGGTTCCCCTGCTCCAGTCATCACATGTCCAGGCCCGTCTGAAGGTTCCCCTGCTCCAGTCATCACATGTCCAGGCCCCTCTGAAGGTTGCCAATGACCATCTGGATGATGCAGAGGAGGCATGGGAGAAAGTCATGTGGTCAGAGGAGACCAAAGGAGAACTTTTTGGTCTAAACTTCACTCGTCATGTTTGGAGGAAAAAGAAGGATGAGTTGCATCCCAAGAACACCATCCCTACTGTGAAGCATGGGGGTGGTAACATCATGCTTTGGGGGTGCTTTTCTGTGAAGGGGACAGGATGACTGCACTGTATTAAGGAGAGGATGAATGGGGCCATTTATTGTGACATTTTCAGCAACAACCTCCTTCCCTCAGTCAGAGCATTGAAGATGGGTCGTGGCTGGGCCTTCCAACATGACAACGACCCGAAGCACACAGCCAGGAGAACCAAGGAGTGGCTCCGTAAGAAGCATATCAAGGTTCTGGAGGGGCCTAGCCAGTCTCCACACCTAAATCCAATAGAACATCTTTGGAGGGAGCTGAAACTCCGTGTTGCTCAGCGACAGCCCCGAAACCTGACAGATCTAGAGGAGATCGGTGTGGAGGAGTCGGCCAAAATCCCTGTTGCAGTGCAAACCTGGCCAAGGACTACAGGAAACGTCTGACCTCTGTAATTGCAGACAAAGGCTTCTGTACCAAATATTAACACGGATCTTCTCAGGGGTTCAAATACTTCTGTTCAGCCGTGCGAGACAAATACATTCTTTACAAATCATACAATGTGATCTCCTGAATTCTGTCCTCAGAGTGGGAATCCCCTGCAATGTGAATGTCAGACCCTCCATGATGGAGAAGTGGGAGAACTTGCAAATCGCAGGGGGTTCAAATACTTCTGTTCCTCACTGTATGTTAAGCACTGCATGTGGACCAACAAGTATAACAAGGGACTACCAGGGGCGGACTGACAACTCATGGGGCCCCCGGGCAATAGGGGATCATGGGGCCCCTGTGTCCTTGCCCAAACTCAAAAAAGCCTATGAAAAAGGTACCAGGGGCATCTCATGGGGCACCCTACTGACCCCGGGCCCTCAGGCAGTGCCTGAGTTTCCATATGGTCAGTCCGCCCCTGCTTCCAACTCCAAACTTTCTGCGTAGATCAACTAAACAGACTAAAAGAACTAGAGGAGCAATAGATGAATCTGAGTATACAAACCAGTTTGGGTAAATAAACGGCAGAGTGGAGATTGATGAATCCCCTCATATTGAATTAGCACCCAACAAAATCACAATAGGCAACGAAGAGAGCGTATTCTGGGATAATGTGACCTACAGCAGCCAACGGAACTTCAGTTTAATGTAGTCAAACTGGTCAATGAGTTGTGGTTTCGAGGAAGAACTCCAGCAGCAGTACCCTTCATAAACTCACTATTTAAGACACCGGACTCTGATAGGATACAGCTGTGGTCTCCAAACTGTGACCCATGGCCGGATGTGGACCATTGCTTGCTTTATCTGGCCCTTGGGGCACTATTCCTTTCCACTGACACCAGAGATGGGGAACCAATTACCCCACTGACACCAACGATGGGGCACTATTCCTCCCACTGACACCAACGATGGGGCACTATTCCTCCCACTGACACCAATTCGATGGGGCACTATTCCTCCCACTCCCACTGACACCAATGATGGGGCACTATTCCTCCCCCTAACACCAATGATGGGGATACTATTCCTCCCACTGATACCAATGATGGGGCACTATTCCTCCCCACTGACACCAATGATGGGACACTATTCCTCCCACTGACACCAATGATGATATTCCTCCCACTGACACAATGACACTATTCCTCCCACTGACACAATGATGGGGCACTATTCCTCCCACTGATACCAATGATGGGGCACATTCCAATGACACAGATGATGGGACACTATTCCTCCCACTGACACCAATGATGGGGCATTATTCCTCCCACTGACACCAATGATGGGACACTATTCCTCCCACTGACACAATGATGGGGCATTATTCCTCCCACTGACACCAATGATGGGACACTATTCCCCACTGACACCAATGATGGGGCACTATTCCTCCCACTGACACCAATGATGGGACACTATTCCTCCCACTGATACCAATGATGGGGCACTATTCCTCCCACTGACACCAATGATGGGACACTATTCCTAACTGACACCAATGATGGGGCACTATTCCTCCCACTGACACCAATGATGGGACACTATTCCTCCCACTGATACCAATGATGGGGCACTATTCCTCCCACTGACACCAATGATGGGACACTATTCCTCCCACTGATACCAATGATGGGGCACTATTCCTCCCACTGACACCAATGATGGGACACTATTCCTCCCACTGACACCAATGATGGGACACTATTCCTCCCACTGATACCAGTGATACCAATGATGGACACTATTCCTCCCACTGACACCAATGATGGGGCATTATTCCTCCCACTGACACCAATGATGGGACACTATTCCTCCCACTGATACCAGTGATGGGACACTATTCCTCCCACTGACACCAATGATGGGGCACTATTCCTCCCACTGACACCAATGATGGGGCACTATTCCTCCCACTGACACCAATGATGGGACACTATTCCTCCCACTGACACCAATGATGGGGCACTATTCCTCCCACTGACACCAATGATAGGCACTATTCCCCCCACTGACACCAATGATGGGGTACTATTCCCCCCAGTGAAACCAATGATGGGGCACCATTCCTCCCACTGACACCAATGATAGGCACTATTCCTGCCACTGACACCAATGATAGGCACTATTTCTCCCACTGACACCAATGATGGGACACTATTCCTCTCACTGACACCAATGATGGGACACTATTCCTCTCACTGATACCAATGATAGGGCACTAATCCTCCCACTGACACCAATGATGGGGCACTATTCTTCCCACTGACACCAATGATGGGGCACTATTCTTCCCACTGACACCAATGATGAGGCACTATTCCTCCCACTGATACCAATGATGGGGCACTATTCCTCCCACTGACACCAATGATGGGGCACTATTCCTCCCACTGACACCAATGATAGGCACTATTCCCCCCACTGACACCAATGATGGGGTACTATTCCCCCCAGTGAAACCAATGATGGGGCACCATTCCTCCCACTGACACCAATGATAGGCACTATTCCTGCCACTGACACCAATGATAGGCACTATTTCTCCCACTGACACCAATGATGGGACACTATTCCTCTCACTGACACCAATGATGGGACACTATTCCTCTCACTGATACCAATGATGGGGCACTATTCTTCCCACTGACACCAATGATGAGGCACTATTCCTCCCACTGACACCAATGATCAGGTTCATTGAGATATTGATTACAATCTTACTTTTCAAAAGAGGTTTACTCATTTATGCTGAGCACTGTATATACACCCTATATTGCCAAAGGTATTGTCCCGCCCTCCATATCATGTGATTCAGGTGTTCCAATCCCCTCCATATCATGTGATTCAAGTGGAAGCAACTGGGAACAACAGCCACTCAGCCACCAAGTGGTAGGCCACGTCACATGACAGGGCGGGGTCAGCGCATGCTGAAGCGCACAGTGCGCAGAAGTCACCAACTGTCTGCAGAGTCAATAGCTAAAGACCTCCAAACTTGGTGTGGCCTTCAGATGAGCCCAACAACAGTGCGTAGAGATCTTCATGGAATGGGTTTCCATGGCCGAGCAGCTGCATCCAAGCCTTCCATCACCAAGTGCAATGCAAAGCGTGGGATGCCGTGGTGTAAAGCATGCTGCCACTGGACTCTAGAGCAGAGGAGACGTGTTCTCTGGAGTGACCAATCACGCTTCTCTGTCTGGCAATCCAATGGACGTGTCTGGGTTTGGCAGTGGCCAGGAGAACGGTACTTGCCTGACTGCATTGTGCCAAGTGTAAAGTTTGGTGGAGGGGGGATTATGGCGTGGGGTTGTTTTTCAGGGGTTGGACTTGGCCCCCTAGTTCCAGTGAAGGGAGCTCTTAAGGCGACATTTTGGACAATTTCATGCTCCCAACTTTGTGTGGAAGAGTTTGGTGATGGCCCCTTCCTGTTCCAACATGACTGCCCACCAGTGCACAAAGCAAGGTCCATAAAGACATGGAGGAGCCAGTTTGGGGTGGAGGAACTTGACTGTCCTGCACAGAGTCCTGACCTCAACCCCATAGAACACCTTTGGGATGAATTAGAGCGGAGACTGCGAGCCAGGCCTCCTCCCCCGACATCAGTGCCTGACCTGACAAATGTGCTTCTGGAAGAATGGTCCAACCTTCCCATAGACACCCTCCTAAACCTTGTGGACGGCCTTCCCAGAAGAGTTGAAGCTGTTATAGCTGCAAAGGGCGGGGCCAACTCAATATTGAACCCTACGGACTAAGACTGGGGGGCCATTAAAGGTCATGTGCGTGGAAAGGGCGGGGCCAACTCAATATTGAACCCTACGGACTAAGACTGGGAGGCCATTAAAGGTCATGTGGGTGGAAAGGGCGGGGCCAACTCAATATTGAACCCTACGGACTAAGACTGGGAGGCCATTAAAGGTCATGTGGGTGGAAAGGGCGGGGCCAACTCAATATTGAACCCTACGGACTAAGACTGGGAGGCCATTAAAGGTCATGTGGGTGGAAAGGGCGGGGCCAACTCAATATTGAACCCTACGGACTAAGACTGGGAGGCCATTAAAGGTCATGTGTGTGGAAAGGGCCATTAAAGGGGTGTGTGGAAAAGGGCGGAGCCAACTCAATATTGAACCCTACGGACTAAGACTGGGGGCCATTAAAGGTCATTTGCATGGAAAGGCCGGCCTACCAATACTTGGGGCAATATAGTGTATATATATACATGTAAAAAAAAACACATTATGGTCAGTAGATGGCGCTGAAGAGCATAGAAGATAACGACATTACACACAATGCGGCACCTATTGGTGGTGTCAGTGCGAATGTTTCAGATATCCCTGCTGTGAATTTTCGATACCTGGACCCCCCTCAGAGTGTAGATCTCCAGTCTCACCTGAATCCATGTATGATGATTTTGGTGTCCAGAGAGGCATTGAAGGTGGAGCTCTCGATGCCTCCTGATTGGTTGAGATGGATGACCTGTGCACAGGTGGGGTTGCGGGGGGTGTAGAGCAGAAACTGGACCTCTAGTTTTTTGTCCTGGAAGAATCCCGACACCTGGAAAGCGCCGCAGGCAGCGGGGATGGGAGGCTCCGCCTGCTGCGCCAATACTGAGAAGAGAAGAAATACAGTCACCTTTCATATGGCTGCAATCTACCTTCATTGGAACTTGGGGCTCATTCACACTTGACTCATTTCTGACAAGGGGGGACTGACAACTCATGGGGCCCCCGGGCAATAGGGGATCATGGGGCCCCTGTGTCCTTGCCCAAACTCAAAAAAGCCTATGAAAAAGGTACCAGGGGCATCTCATGGGGCCCCCTACTGACCCCGGGCCCACGGACAGTGCCCGAGTTTCCAAATGGTCAGTCCGCCAGTTTCTGACTTTTTCCGAACGCCCCGATAGCGTTTTACAGGCATTTGGGAAGCGTTTTTAATGCTCCTCAAACGCTCCCCAAAAGCCCGACGTGCGTTTTTGAGGTGTCTAACAAACAGACGCGAAAGCTAATTTACTAATGGACACAATAAAGGAATCCTAAACAGATGTAAAATCGCTCAAACTGACCCGATGCCAAAGATGGCCGCCGGGACCCACGTGGTGCCGGCGGCGTGACGTCACGCAACAAATCTGCCTCCTTTTTCTGGGGCTCCTTGTGGAGCTTTCACCACCCACTGAGCCGTTGTGCCAGTGCTGACAGCGGAGTTTTGAACAGTGAGGGACATCAGACCAGACCTTTTCCATCTTAAAGGGGCCTCCAGGTTACTGAGAGTGTTAGCCTCTAAATGCGCATACGGATTGCGCATCTGGTGAGTGCGCAGTCTTTATCATTTTGGACACATCACCATTATACAGGATATGACCCCCCGATTCTGAAGACCGTCACAATCTCCTGTGCACTTTATTTTGGACTATATAAGGATCATTCATTGATTTCTTGTCACCTTGACAGGCGATATCACTGATTGGTCCCTGTGTTGTGTTGTGTGAGCACTTTATCACCTGGTGCCACGTTTACACACTTGTGTGGTTTGTGTATATCTGCAGCATATCATTTGTGACATTATACATGGTACCACTTAGTCACCTGATTCTCAGTCGGCTCCATGTCACTCATTGATTTATAAGCCGATCGATTTATTACGTAGGATTATAATCCTTCAGCGCTAAACCCCATTATAGACGTGCATTTTGAAGGGTTTTTGGTACCTTTTGGTGTTTTAGCAGCTTTATATGACTTTTTAGTGCTCACTTATCCTCCTATCTGTGTTTTATCCCCTACTTCCTGTACATACCCCGTACATCCCATACATCCCGCACATCCCGTACATCCCATACATCCCGTACATCCCGTACATCCCATACATCCTGTACATCCCATACATCCCCTACATCCCGTACATCCCATACATCCTGTACATCCCGTGCATCCCCTACATCCTGTACATCCCATACATCCCCTACATCCTGTACATCCCATACATTCCCTACATCCTGCACATCCCATACATCCTGTACATCACATACATCCCGTACATCCTGTACATCCCATACATCCTGTACACCACATACATCCCGTACATCCTGTACATCCCCTACATCCTGTACACCACATACATCCCATACATCCCATACATCCTGTACATCCCATACATCCTGTACATCCCGTGCATCCCATACATCCCATACATTCCGTACATCCCATACATCCCATACATCCTGTACACCACATACCTCCCATACATCCTGTACACCACATACATCCCATACATCCCATACATCCTGTACACCACATACCTCCCACACATCCTGTACACCACATACATCCCGTACATCCTGTACATCCCATACATCCTGTACATCCCATACATCCCCTACATCCTGTACATCGCATACATCTCCTACATCCTGTACATCCCATACATCCCCTACATCCTGTACATCCCATACATCTGGTACATCCCATACAACCTGTACACCACATACATCTCATACATCCCGTACATCCTGTACATCTCATACATCCTGTACATCTCCTACATCCCGTACATCCCATACTGTCAGGAATGGACTCAGCACTGGTGGTGGGACTCACCTGCCGTGTGGGCTGCAGTACCAGAGCTGACCAGCGGGTGCTCTCAGCAGCCAGAAGCTCACTTCTGCATTCAGCCAAACCTGGGGCTGATTGCAGAAAGGTGTATTTAGGGCATGGCCAGGCCTGTGATCTGGGCCTTGGTGTATGTTTTCCCATGAGCCTCTGTACCTGGTATCCTGTGTTCCTGCTTCGTTGCTGACCCTGCTTGATCTGCTGACCGTCTCCTGTTGAACCCCTGACTTGCCTGACCATCCTTCTGCCTGATCCCCTGTACCACGCTGCCCGTGAGTTACTGAACCCGGCTTGTGACCCTGACCATTCTCTGCCTGCTCCTTTGGTACCTTGCTGCCCGCACATTGCTGACCTGGCCTGTCTGACCACGCTAACTACTCTACCATCCATCCATCCTGCATGGATCCAGCCGTCCGTGCTCACACCTTCTGCCTCTTCACATCAGGCTTTCTACCTGCACATACCTCTGGCGGATCCCTCTACCACTAGCAGGTGTACTCAGGGGCCGCGACCTGGTTCCTATCTGCTCCAAGTCCATCCCCACCATCAGGGGCCCTGGTAAATAAGCAGACTGGGACTTAGACTCCGCGCCCTGGGGAATCCTGTCCTGGGGACCGCTAGAGGTACCACCAAACGGTCATTACAGAACCCTACGGCCGGCCTGACCGTTCCACCTCTCCAGCCCTGACTACGTCTGTGTTCCTGCACCTCCTAAGATTAGTGGAAGGTTGGTTTGCTCACTGTGCGTTTATATATATCTGGGTGGCTAATAATAAACTGTATTATACTGTACCTGGAACCTGCGTTTCCCTGTGTCAGTCCACACCTTTCTGGTCACTCCTAGATTCCTGACACATACATCCCGTACATCTCATACATCCCATACATCCCCTACATCCTGTACATCCCATACATCTCCTACATCCTGTACATCCCATACATCTCCTACATCCTGTACATCCCATACATCCCCTACATCCTGTACATCCCATACATCCGGTACATCTCCTACATCCTGTACACCACATACATCCCATACAGGGGTGGAATGACAACTCATGGGGCCCCCGGGCAATAGGGGATCATGGGGCCCCTGTGCCCTTGCCCACACTCAAACTACATTCAAAAAAGCCTATGAAAGGTACCAGGGGCATCTCATGGGGCCCCTACTGACCCTGGGCCATCGGGCAGTGCCCGAGTTCCCAAATGGTCAGTCCGCCCCTGCTCCCATACATTCCCTACATCCTGTACATCCCATACATCCCGTACATCCCATACATCCCATACATCCCCTATATCCTGTACATCCCATACATCCCGTACACCCCTTACATCCCGTACACCCCATACATCCTGTACACCCCATACTCCCTGTACACCCTGTACATCCCATACATCCCATACACTTCATACATCCCGTACACCCCATACATCCTGTACACCCCATACTCCCTGTACACCCCGTACATCCCATACATCCCATACACTTCATACATCCCGTACACCTCATTCATCCCGTATATCCCCATACACCTCATACATCCTGTACACCCCATACATCCCGCACACCCCGTACACCCCATACATCCCGTACACCCCATACATCCCGTACAGTCCATACATCCCGTACACCCCATACATCCCGTACAGTCCATACATCCCGTACACCCCATACATCCCGTACAGTCCATACATCCCGTACACTCCATACATCCTCTAAAATTGTAGCATTTCAAACATACATTTGTGTTCAAAATAATAGCAGTGTGTTGAAAAAAGTGAATAAAGGTGAAAATCCTTCTAATCCTTTTATTTCCATTCACACAAATGCATTGGGAACACGACACATTCTATTCCAAATCACAACATGAAGAAAAAACATCAAATTTGTGTTGTTCCTCTAAAAAAAATGGAAGAAAAGTGAATATTAGACGATTCAAAAAAATGGCCGTGTTTGTATTCTTCTTTACAAACTCAAACATTCACTATATAAACTGAGAAATGTTTGAAGATTTTGCTTTCCTTTGAATGACTTCATGAATATTTGGTTGTAGTCGCACTTTTTCTAGTCGCAGTTTTCTGAGAACTGCTGTACATCTGTGTTGCATGGAGTCCCCCAACTTCTGGCCCCTGTGATCAGGTATTCCAGCCCAGGATGATTGGACCACATTCCACAGTTCTTCTCTATTTCTTGGTTTGGCCTCAGAAACGGCATTTTTGATGTAACCCCACAAGTTTTCTATTGGATGAAGATCCGGGGATTGGGCTGGCCACTCCATAACGTCCATCTTGTTGGTCTGGAACCAAGATGTTGCACGTTTACTGGTGTGTTTGGGGTCGTTGTCTTGTTGGAACACCCATTTCAAGGGCATTTCCTCTTCAGCATAAGGCAGCATGACCTCTTCAAGTATTCTGATGGATTCAAACTGATCCATGATCCCTGGTATGCGATAAATAGGCCCAACACCGTAGTATGAGAAACATCCCCATATCATGATGCTTGCACCACCATGCTTCACGGTCTTCACAGTGTACTGTGGCTTGAATTCAGTGTTTGGGGGTCGTCTGACAAACTGTCTCCGCCCACTAGACCCAAAAAGAACAATCTTACTTTCATCAGTCCACAAAATGTTGCGCCATTTCTCTTTAGGCCGGTCAATGTGCTCTTTGGCAGATTGTAACCTCTTCAGCAGCACGTCTTTTTCCCAACAGTGGGACTTTGCGGGGGCTTCTTGCAGATAACTTGGCTTCACATCGGCGTCTTCTAATTGTAACAGTCCTCACAGGGAACGTCACACCTTCTTTCATCTTCCTGGAGCTGATTGTTGGCTGAGTCCTCACAGGGAACGTCACACCTTCTTTCATCTTCCTGGAGCTGATTGTTGGCTGAGTCCACCCCATTTTGGCTATTCTTCTATCCATTCCAATGGTAGTTTTTCGCTTTCTTCCACGTCTTTCAGGTTTTGGTTGCCATTTTAAAGCATTTGCCATCATTTTAGCTGAGCAGCCGATCATTTTCTGCACTTCTTTATATGTTTTCCCCTCCAATCAACTTTTTAATCAAGGTACGCTGTTCTTCTGAACAATGTCTGGAACGACCCATTTTCCTCAGAATTTCAGAGAGAAATGCACTGTAACCAGCATGTCCAACATTTGCTGCCTTCCTCCTTAAATAAGGGCAATAATTGCCACCTGTTTATCAAAGAATGAATGACCTCACTAATAGAACTCCACACGGCTATTATTTTGAACACGCCCCTTTCAATGAGTGATTCAATGACACAGAATCAGCAGCATGCATGTCATGACTGTCGGGTCTGTTGGATTTCTATGACTCTACTACACCTGCTAGGAAATTATCTTGTCATGTAGAAATATCATTTCCACCAAAAACAGTGATTGATCCGGTTAGTGATGTCTGACGGCTATTATTTTGAACACAAATGTATGTCAATATATTTGGGATGAATATTTTGAAAATATATGTCAAATATACTTTTCTTCCATGTGGGGGCGCCGTTACTGAGGGTGTGTGGAAGCAATTGCGTGCCAGTGCAGCCCCCAGAACGTTTCCATCTGACAGGCAGGAGTGTGATGTGGGAGAGTGTTTCCCCCCCCCCGGGCAACGTAGGGACCAGGCAGTGAAAGGGTTAATAGTAACTTGTGACGGGTTGCTCTTTAGGATGTATGTGATGTGTAAAGGGGGTGTGTCTAGTAAAGTATGGGCGGTACTTAGTGCTTCTGGGGGTCTCTGGTTTGAATCTCGTGACGATCTGTATGAAGTTTGCATGTTCTCTCTGTGCCTGCATGGGTTTTCCTCCGGGTGCTCCCGGACTCCAAAGACATGCTGGGAGCAGGAGCGGACTGACCATTTGGAAACTCGGGCACTGCCTGAGGGCCCGGGGTCAGTAGGGGGCCCCATGAGATGCCCCTGGTACCTTTTTCATAGGCTTTTTTGAGTTTGGGCAAGGACACAGGAGCCCCATGATCCCCTATTGCCCGGGGGCCCCATGAGTTGTCAGTCCTCCCCTGGCTGGGAGGTTAATCAGCCCTCGTATAAAGGTGAGATGGGGACTTTAGATTGCAAGCTCCTTGGGTGTCGATGTACATGGGGGGGGGCTGTAACCTGTAGCTCACCTGTCGGTGTGATGGAGGTGATCAGGCTTGCGATGAGGACCGCCATCCCTCGCCCGGCCGTAGTCATGTCCCGAGGTTCTCTGGTGACCCTCTCATGTGACAATGAAGAGATGAGAGAGCGTGAGCCGGTATGATGGCCGTGTGGCTGCGATCCGTCGCGGTCTGGTGCCGCCCGCCTCGGATCCAGCGCCGGCGAGGTTAATGCCATGAATCATTAGCCTGGACCCTGTGTGCGTGTTTGGACCCCAGCCTGAGCCCTGCCCCCCTGACAAAGGGCGAGTGTTTGTCCTCCATGTCACCCGCTCTCAGGACATCCGCTGGGGGGGGGGGGGGGGGTCACGGCTGCCTGTGCTGGGATGGGGTACAATGCCCGTCTGTTCTCCTCTGCTTGGACCCGTCCGCTGCTTTGTGGAGGAGAGAGAAATCCAAATTATCAGCATGTCTGCGTCTGTATCCCCGCTGTGCCCACTATGAGGGGTTCCCACCATCCCTGTACACCCGCTGTGCCCACTATGAGGGGTTCCCACCATCCCTGTACACCCGCTGTGCCCACTATGAGGGGTTCCCACCATCCCTGTACACCCGCTGTGCCCACTATGAGGGGTTCCCACCATCCCTGTACACCCGCTGTGCCCACTATGAGGGGTTCCCACCATCCCTGTACACCCCGCTGTGCCCACTATGAGGGGTTCCCACATCCCTGTACACCCGCTGTGCCCATTATGAGGGGTTCCCACCATCCCTGTGCTGTCCCGATGTTTTAGAATCCTGTGAGTGTTTCTTGATATTCTCCTCCTAACACAAATCCATCTCCTAACACAAATCCCCCCAAACTCCATCCCAGCACCACCCCCCCCCCCCCCCAGACCTGGCCATGGTGGAGAGTAGGGAATCCAGTGGCTGTGGCTGTGGCCCTTGGTGGCTGTGTGCTCCAGGCGGCTGCCTAGTCTGCCTGGTGGTATCGCTGGCCCTGGATACAGCTGCACTCAGACTGGGAGAGGGAGAATCAGCACCATGGACCAATCAGGTGGTGTGCTGCAGTCAGATGTGTTTCCGCATGCTTTTTTCTGCATTCAAAACGCACAGAAAGTAGGTGATAGGCTTGTCAGTGTCATAGTTCACATCAGCGCTTGCAGTTTCGGTGTGTTTCCGGTTGTAGAAAAAAAAGTAGAACAGGCGGCATTTGTTCTGCACGGAACTGTACTGGAACGCAGTAAAACGCATCAAAAACGCACCAGATTACACACTGGAACGCACACGTCCCTATTTAAATTGAAGAAAAGAGAGGGGGAAAAATGAACTGGAATGCATCAAAAACGCACCGGAATGCGTCAAAAACACGCCAAAAAATGCGCATGCAGAAACGCATCCAGAACAGTGTGAACCCGCACTCAGGCTAGGTTCACACCTATGCAGCTTGCGTTAGATCCATTTGTGCACTGCGTTTTGCGCGTGTTTTGCATTTTTGCTGCGTTTTTCTTTTTTTTTTTTTCCTGTTGCTAGGCAGATTTAGGACCGGTTCACACTATAGAAATGAAGTCCAGATATGTTCCCGATGCATTTTTGATGCGTTCCGCAGCATTTTGGGCACATACCGGTGCATTTTTTATGCATTTTCATTACGTTCCAGTGCGTTTTTAATGCATTCCAGTTCATTTTTTCCCCTCTCTTTTTCTTCAATTTAAATAGCAACATGTGCATTTCAGTGCGTTTTTGTTTCATTTTGGTGCAGTACAGTGCGTTTTTGTTGCATTTTGGTGCATTCAAGTGAGTTTTTGGTGCATTTTTGGTGCATTTTGGTGTGGTACAGTGCAATTTTGTTGCATTTTGGTGCAGTACGGTGCGTTTTTGTTGCATTTTGGTGCATTCAAGTGAGTTTTTGGTGCATTTTGGTGCATTCCAGTGCATTTTTGGTGCGTTTTGGTGCGGTACAGTGCATTTTTGGTGCATTTTGGTGCAGTACGGTGCGTTTTTGGTGCATTTTGGTGCAGTACGGTGCGTTTTTGGTGCATTCAAGTGCATGTTTGGTGCATTTTTGGTGCATTACAAAGCTTTTTGGTGCATTTTGGTGCATTCCAGTGCATTTTTTGGTGCATTTTGGGGCATTGCAGTGCGTTTTTGTTGCATTTTGGTGCATTCCAGTGCATTTTTGGTGCATTTTGGTGCATTACAGTGCAATTTTGGTGCATTTTGGTGCATTAAAGTGCGTTTTTGGTGCATTTTGGTGCATTCCAGTGCGTTTTTTTTGATGCGTTTTACTATATTTCAATATGTTACAGTGAGTTTTTGGTGCATTGTGGTGCACTCCAGTGCATTTTTGGTGCATTTTGGTGCATTCCAGTTCATTTTTTGGTTCATTTTGGTGCGTTACAGTGCGTCTTTGGTGCATTTTGGTACGTTACAGTGCGTTTTTGATGCGTTTTACCGTATTTCAGTACAGTTCTGTGCAGAAAAAATGCAGCCGGTTCTACTTTTTTATTGGACACTGGAACTGCAAGCACTGATGTGAGCTATGACACCGACACCTACATTCTGTGCGTTTTGGATGCAGAAAAAAAAGCAACTGAAACGCATGTAGTGCAAACTGGCCCTTAAAATGCAAACCGCAAAAATGCAGCAAAAAACGCACTCCATGCTTTTCTGCAGCATTTCCATTGAAGTCTATAGAACCAAAAACGCAACTTTTTGCATTCAAAAAAGTCCCCGCCCCTTTCCAAAAAACGCAGCGGGTGAAAACGGTGCAATGTGAACGTGTCCCACAGGAAATCATGCTAAATGGCGTTTCTGCAAAACGCTGCGGAAGACACTTAGGTGTGAAAATAGGGTCAGGATACTTATTTTAAGGGCCAGATCACACCACAAAAACGCACTCCGGATGCGTCCCAGATACATATTTTGTTTACAGTTCTCACCACACGCAGTCCCGGCGCAGTTTTGATGCACTTTGCCGTGTTCCAGAATGGTTCTGCGTAGAAAAAAAGCGCAGCGCGTGTTACTTTTATTTCTGCGCAGGAAACTGACTGCATCTGGTGTGAACTACAGCCAATGGAATACATGAAATACACTGAGTATCCCTCCATCCCCCGTCTGATCGATGTTTATTAACAATGTTACTTTGTATCTATCTCCCGTCTGATCGATGTTTATAAACAATGTTACTTTGTATCTCTCTATCTCCCGTCTGATCGATGTTTATAAACGATGTTACTTTGTATCTCTCTATCTCCCGTCTGATCGATGTTTATAAACGATGTTACTTTGTATCTCTCTATCTCCCGTCTGATCGATGTTTATAAACGATGTTACTTTGTATCTCTCTATCTCCCGTCTGAGCGATGTTCATAAACAATGTTACTTTGTATCTCTCCATCTCCCATCTGATCGATGTTTATAAACAATGTTACTTTGTATCTCTCTATCTCCAGTCTGATCGATGTTTATAAACAATGTTACTTTGTGTCTCTCCATCTCCCGTCTGATCGATGTTTATAAAACAATGTTACTTTGTATCTCTCTATCTCCAGTCTGATCGATGTTTATAAACAATGTTACTTTGTATCTCTCTATCTCCCGTCTGATCGATGTTTATAAACAATGTTACTTTGTATCTCTCTATCTCCGTCTGATCGATGTTTATAAACAATGTTACTTTGTATCTCTCCATCTCCCGTCTGATCGATGTTTATAAACAATGTTACTTTGTATCTCTCCATCTCCCATCTGATCGATGTTTATAAACAATGTTACTTTTTATCTCTCTATCTCCCGTCTGATCGATGTTTATAAACAATGTTACTTTGTATCTCTCCATCTCCCGTCTGATCGATGTTTATAAACGATGTTACTTTGTTTCTCTCCATCTCCCGTCTGATCGATGTTTATAAACAATGTTACTTTGTATCTCTCCATCTCCCGTCTGATCGATGTTTATAAACGATGTTACTTTGTATCTCTCCATCTCCCGTCTGATCAATGTTTATAAACGATGTTACTTTGTTTCTCTCCATCTCCCGTCTGATCGATGTTTATAAACGATGTTACTTTGTTTCTCTCTATCTCCCGTCTGATCAATGTTTATTAACAATGTTACTTTGTATCTATCTCCCGTCTGATCGATGTTTATAAACAATGTTACTTTGTATCTCTCTATCCCCCGTCTGATCGATGTTTATAAACGATGTTACTTTGTATCTCTCCATCTCCCGTCTGATCGATGTTTATAAACAATGTTACTTTGTATCTCTCCATCTCCCGTCTGATTGATGTTCATAAACAATGTTACTTTGTATCTCTCTATCTCCCGTCTGATCGATGTTTATAAACAATGTTACTTTGTATCTATCTCCCGTCTGATCGATGTTTATTAACAATGTTACTTTGTATCTATCTCCCGTCTGATCGATGTTTATAAACAATGTTACTTTGTATCTCTCTATCTCCAGTCTGATCGATGTTTATAAACGATGTTACTTTGTATCTCTCTATCTCAGTCTGATCGATGTTTATAAACGATGTTACTTTGTATCTCTCCATCTCCCGTCTGATCGATGTTTATAAACGATGTTACTTTGTGTCTCTCCATCTCCCGTCTGATCGATGTTTATAAACAATGTTACTTTGTATCTCTCCATCCCCCGTCTGATCGATGTTTATAAACAATGTTACTTTGTATCTCTCCATCTCCCGTCTGATCGATGTTTATAAACGATGTTACTTTGTTTCTCTCCATCTCCCGTCTGATCGATGTTTATAAACAATGTTACTTTGTATCTCTCCATCTCCCGTCTGATCGATGTTTATAAACGATGTTACTTTGTTTCTCTCCATCTCCCGTCTGATCGATGTTTATAAACAATGTTACTTTGTTTCTCTCCATCTCCCGTCTGATCGATGTTTATAAACAATGTTACTTTGTATCTCTCTATCTCCCGTCTGATCGATGTTTATAAACAATGTTACTTTGTATCTCTCCATCTCCCGTCTGATCGATGTTTATAAACGATCTTACTTTGTATCTCTCTATCTCCCGTCTGATCGATGTTTATAAACAATGTTACTTTGTATCTCTCTATCCCCCGTCTGATCGATGTTTATAAACGATGTTACTTTGTATCTCTCCATCTCCCGTCTGATCGATGTTTATAAACAATGTTACTTTGTATCTCTCCATCTCCCGTCTGATTGATGTTCATAAACAATGTTACTTTG